AGGGAGGACGAGTCAAGCGCTGCACTCCAGAAAGCCCAGCCTTACCCTCTGTCTCTGCCGGTGCTGCAAGCGGGATAGCTGCTCAGCACAAAACACCCGTTCTGCCCTCAAAACCGAGCCCCGAGTGTGGCTGCTGTTGCCTTCTCCAACCCGGCATCTGTAGCGATTCTCTCCTACCCTTTCCCTCCCCACCTCGGCTGGAGGCTGCCAACCGAGCAGCGATTTTTTATTTTATTTTTTTTATTTTTTTTTTTTAAAGCAAATAAACGTTTATTCGCCTTGCTTTTTTTTTTAGGCAGAGCTGGCGCCCGTTTTTTTTGGGGGGGGGCTCGGCGTTTTGCGGCATCACGCTCGGTAAGAAAACTCGTTTCGCAGAGATTCCCACCTTCCCCCTGTCGTGTCGGTGCTTTTTTTTTTGGGAAATAGCTGCAGTCCCTGGAACTGCATAAAACTCCCGGGAGGAAGGAGGCGGGTGTATATGTGTGTGTGTGTGTGTGTGTGTGTGTACTGCCTTAGATCTCCGACTTTCGTCCTGTTTCCCGCTGCTGTTTGAGCCTTTTTTGGTCTTTTGTGTTCACGTTCTTCCTATTGCCATCAATTGAAATGTGTCTTTTCAGCGTGTTTTGTGGGTTTCCTAGGAGAAAATAAAGCAATAAATAAAAAAAAAAACCCTCGGAGAAGATGATCAAGCAGGGGGTGAGAGGGTTAGTAGAATAAACACATGGAAGAAGTAACAGATTTATTTCCGAGCGGGGACTTGCTGCTTTTTGGCTGATTGCTAAAATGTAGCGTCACCTACCTGGGTGAGTGGGAAATAAACTTTCACGTTCAAGCTCTCTCGGCTCAACTTGGGTTCTTCTGGGCTCCCTAATTCCCTTCTCCTTTCCCCTTTTGTGCCTTTTAATCGCCGGTGGCCTTTCCCTGCCCCTGTCCCCCCCCCTCCTTGGGGTGATGCCCCTCTCTCCCTGTCCCTTCCCACTGGGATCCCGGAGGGAAAAGCTGGAGCCCCCATTAATCTGGGAGGAAAGGGAGGACCTGGGGGAGTAGGAAGAGAACCAGTGTGTGTGTGTGAGTGTGTGTGTGTGTAAGGGGGGGGC